GGCGACTCCAGCGCGGGCGCGTTCAAGGCGGAACGCCGCCAGAGGCCGGGCATCGTCCTGAGGAAACGATCTGACGGTCGGAAGGCGGAACGATCTTTGCGGCGTCAGAAGCCAGCGCGCAGGTCGTCACGACCCGAGCCCGCCGCAAAGGGGGGCCCAGCAGCCGGGGCTGCGGGGGCTTGGCTGGCGCGACGAGGGGCAGCCCGTTCTTCTTCGGGTAGGCCTCGCATCGAGGCAATCGGCCCAGAGCATTCAGGAACGCACTCAAAGCGTTCGGGAACGCTCCAGAACGACCGCGGCGCCCGATACATCCTCCAGACCCGCCGATTATCAGACATGTCCTCGTCATATCGATCCGATGCTGTCTCGAGTCTGCCGTCGTTCTGCTCTTTTGCACGCCCGCTCCTTCCCCTCCTCCTCCTCCTCATCCTCATCCTCTCCTCCTTCTCCTCCTCCTCCTCCTCGTCTCCCCCATGCGTCTCATCCCCCTCCCCCTGTTCCAACTTTCCTTCGCCGCCACAGGCGTGGTCCATGTGGCCCACCTGGGCGGCTGACGCGCGTGCGCGGCGCACGGCGCACAGCGCGCGGCGCGCGGCGCTTGAGTCGTTCGGGTCGGGCGAGCGGGGGGGGGGACTCGGCGGCGCGCCGAGGTGGTGACCGAGGGGGGAATTGCGAACCTTCTCAGAATCCCCATCCGGCCCTCCGAGAGAGTAGGAGAAACAGGAGGAGGAGGAGGAGGAGGCGGAGCAGGAGCAGGAGGAGGAGGAGGAGGAGGAGGCCGCCTCGGCCTTCGGAGAAGGCCCAGGAGGCTGCCCTCTGCCTACCTAGAGGACCACAGCAAACGGCACAAACACCAACTTTTGGAGCTCCGCGCGGATTTCTTGGATCTGCGCAGGGGCTCCCCTGGCGGCGCCTGAGGTGCCGCCACTGGGGCGCCCCGCACGCCAAAGAGAGGGGTTCAGCGCAGATCCAAGAAATCCGCGCGCGTCCCCTGCTTGGCCTGGTGAGCGCCCCAGTGGCGGCGCAGCAGGCGTCGCCAGGGGGGCCTCAGCGCAGGTCCAAGAAATCCGCGCGGAGTTCCAAAAGTTAATGTTGATGCCAGGTTGCTGTTTTCCTTCTCAGAGAAGGCAGAGGGGGCGGGCCTCCTCAGAAGGTTCGGAAGGCCTCCTGGCCTTCGGAGAGACTTCCTGGGCCTTCTCCTCCTCCTCTTCCTCCTCCTCCTCCTCCTCTTCCTCCTCCTCCCCCTCGGCGCGCCGCCGAGTGTTGGGGAGACGTGGGGAATATAGGTGGATCCGTGTCGCTCCGATCCGCCGGGGAGTCCCCTCGGCGCTCGCACCGTCTCTTCCAGACGCGCAGCGCCCATATGCGGCCCGTGGGCGTCTTGTTTTATCGCCGGGGAGCAAGAGTTCTGTTGACGTGCACCTGGGTCGGTGGAGGATTATCTGCTCCTGCCCTCCCTCCCCTCTTCCGCCATCCCTCCTCCTCCGTCGCCCTCCTCTTTCGCCACATTCCTCTGTTTTCTCGCCCTCGGACCCCCTCCCCTCCCCTTCCCTCTCGCTCCTCCATCCTTGTTCTTGGTTGAGCGAATTCGAGAGAGAGCAATCGAAATGCGCAATCCGAATGATACTTCCTCCGGTGCTCCATGGACCTACTCTGGTGTAGCCCTCCCATTCCTGATCCGCATTTCGGTGCAGTGCTAAGGTTATTTAGCGCTGTGCACTCCCATTTGTGGGCATTCCGTTCCATTCCTCCCTCCCTCTTCATCCTCCCTCCCTCCCTCTCCACCCACCCGCAGAGTGAAGGAGGCGATCCCTGCCCCAGAACCGTCGATGTCAAAGGTTTTCTGAGGTCTTGCTGCCCAGCCGTACGGCCATAATTGCCGGTAGCTGCGGGTTCCGCGCATGCTCCCGTCGTGTGATTCTTAGGCTTACGCCACACCGCCGACCCCTTGTTTATGCCAATCTGGGGGTAGTAGAAGCTGCGAAGGGGTGAAAAGGCGAGTGATATTTGTTTGGTGTCTGTCGCCGCCACCGCCAGAGGGTCTCGGGCAGTTCCGCGGGGAGGTCCGAGCGGACAGCGACACTGCGAGTTTTGGAGCCACTCGGGGGCCGTTTCGGAGCCTCTGGGGTGCTTCTTGGGGGTTCCTTGGGGCGTCTGGGCGGCCTCGTGAGGGCCTCTGGGGGCCTCTTGGGGCACTCTTGGGGCCCCCTGGGGCTCCTGGGGGCAGAAAGCTAGAGTTTCAACATGTTTGGTCGCCCTCTTGGGCCCCTCGTGGTGCCGTCTTGGAGCCCTCTTGGGCCGTCTTGGGGACCTCTTGGGCCGTGTTGGGGCCGTCTTGGGCCGTCTGGAGGCCGTCTTGGGGGCCTCTTGGGCCATCTTGGGGCTATCTTTGGGGCCTCGTCGCGCGTCTTGGAGCGTTGGGAAGCCGGAAAGGCGGAAAAGCAAAAAACGTCGAAGAACACTATGGAAAATCAACAATTTTAGACTCTTGGGGCCCTCTTGGGAGGCTTGTTTGGGACCTCGGGGGCCGTCTTGGAGACCTCTTGGCCCGTCTTGGGGCCATCGTGGGCGTCTTGGAGCGGTCGTTTGGCTTCTCGGAGCCTTCGTGGGCCGTCTTGGAGGCCTCTTGGGGGCTTCGTGGCCCGTCTTGAGGCCCTCTTGGGCCCGGAAAAGCCCCGTGGAGCGCTCGTCCCGGACCCCCCCCCCCCCTCCAAATCGACCGGACCGGGCTCCCGGGGGAAGCATCTCACACGCCGATGATCCCCAAGGGGTCGGCGGATTTGTGGGCGGAAGGAGCAGGAGGAGGTAACAGCACGACGACGATACTGATGATAATATTGATGATGTTGACGATGATGACGATGATGAGATTGGTGATGTTGAAAGCAATGGTGATGGTGGTGATGCTGATGATGATGATGACGATGATGATGATGATGATGATGACGATGAGGATGATGATGATGATGATGATGATGATGATGATGATGATGGTAATGGTGATGGTGGTGGTGATGGTGGTGATGATGATGCTGATGATGGTGATTATGATGATCGTGATGGTGATGGTGGTGATGACGATGGCGATGGTGGTGATGATGGTGTTGGTGATGATGATACTGTTTAGCATGATGATCGTGATGATGATGATGATAGTGCTGATAGTCATGCTGATGATGATGTTGTTGATGCTGACGGTGATGAGACTGAAGTGATGATGGTGATGGTGATGTTGGTGAGGATGGGGTGATTGTTTTGCTGACGGTGGCGGTGATATTAATGATGGTGATGATGTTGATATGGTGACGAGGGTGTTGTTGGTTGTGGCGAGTGAGTGATCACGAAAGTTGCAACACCGTGACCTTCATTTGTTAACGACGAGTCTGATAATAAGTGATGGTTATGAGTCGTGCGGCTGATGAAGATTATGAACATAGCGATGGTGGTGGAGGTGATGAGGTGGAGGGAGGCGACATGGGTAGTTGGGGTTCTGAGGGGAGGATGGACAGGCTAGGAGATGAACGAGGGCGCAGACGAGCAGGATTATGAGCAGGAGAGAAGGAGGTGGAGGACGAGGAGGATAACGATGAGGAAGACGAGAAGGAGGAGGAGGAGGAAGTCGGGCAGCATGTGGAGGAAGAGGACGAGGAGAAGGATGAACGGAGGAGGAAGCGCAGGAGGAGGAGGAGGAAGAGGAGGTTGGGCGTTTCTGGAAGTTTAGAATTCCATCAGCGAGGGGTCATGGGGCGAATTCTGCATTGGGCCCCGACAGTGCCAGCACCTCCCTGACGCTGCTCCCCCTTCCCACTTACGACTGTTTCCTCGTCTGACCTCGGCCCAGACCTTCTCACCATTCGCCTCCCGACTGCTTTCTGTGCTCGTGCGCCCTTCTGCGGGGCTGGCCCTGGGAGGGATACGTATTGCGGCTTCCGCGCCAGAAGTGCGCTGGATCCAGGAGCGAATTGGCGATTCGACGCACGAGTGTTTCATTAGTTATCTGGCGAGGTCTCCGCGCGTGCCTTCCACGCGCTCTGGCCACCTCGCGAGCTTTTTCTTGTGCGGTCACCGCCACGCGCCCGCGGATGCGAAATATGATGCTCCCGTGCGCGCAGCCATCCCTGCGGCGCGTCTTCTTGCCTGGCCAGTTGTCCATGTAGTCATGACGTTCTTTAGGCGTTCTCGCAAGCTCGTTGGGAAGCCTCCTCCGATTCGCCATGAGTCGTCGCCATAGCCTCCACTGTCCAGAGGGGTCAGGGCCAAGAGCATCAGAAGCACAGACCGTGGTGGCTTTGCCGTCGTAGGATCCAGAGCCAAGATTGTTGATGGGATCCTTGAATTTTTCAACGCAGGGGCCCCGGACGTCCAGATCGGAGGTACAACAAGATACCGATACCGTTAGGCGCGTTTTGGCTAGGAGCTCGAGGCAAACCCAAACGTGGCGATGAGGGAAGGGCAGTGGCACTGTGCGAAGATTTGTTGCTGCTGAATGCGAGGTCCCAGGGCGTCCCGGCCCGATCCCTGGGCCCCCTTTTCCTCCGGGGTCGTTTTGTTGTCGGTCCCAAGGCCCAGCGAAGAACGGCCCCCCGGATGCTGCAGGCGGCTCTGTTCTTGACGCGAGACATCCAGGCTTCGTCCTTGGCTTTCGGCACCACCGATCAACCTCTGTTCACAACATACGCGTGTCTTGCCGATTTCGCGCGCAAGTTTGCAAGGCTGGCTTGTGGTAGGCATAGTAGGGACATTACAAAAAGCATGATATGAAAGTCATATTGCGTTCGTTGGAAATGCCGTGCAAAATGATGAATATATGCAGCCCGAAATTCCCATATTAACGATGTGTGTTATCATTTGTCCGCCACGGCCTCGCATAGTTCAGGCTGCATTCCAAAGTCTCCCCGATGTTTGTTTGTCCTGAATTGTTGTATCGTTCCTGCGGCTTTCACCACGGCGATCAGTTCATTATCAACGCTTCCGCCACATCCGCAAGCCAGGACGCGGATCCCGGGAGACGCAAAGGGTCGTCGGCGAATTTGTTGGTTGCGTTTAGGCCGTGGCAGCAAATTCCATGAATGATCAAGAATTCCGGAGAAGTCCTCCCACCGGTACTTTCAGCAATTTGCAAGTGTCAGTTAGAACGAACGGTGCCAGAGACCTACCAATTTGTAGAGATATATGTGTACGCTTAGACGCAATAACACACCGACGTCGATATTCATAATTCCATGTCGACCACCGGTAGCAGTGGTATGCATCATTTGCCCAAATGTTTTAATAGAGATTGCATGGTTTTGCATGACCAGCACGCTTGTGGTTACAACAGACAGTTACAGCCAATTCTTCACGTTTCGCGTATCCCCATCAGTCTGCCAGGATGTCTGGGCTGGTCACCTGCCGACGCTGTCTTGCGTCTCAATGAGGGGCATTTTGTCCCTGGCATGTGTATACGCCACTGCGGCCAATTTTCATCGCACCGCTCCCCGGACGTTGTGCCCGCTCCCTGTCCCTCGCCTTGGAGCCGCGAACCAAAAAGTATCCCCATCAGCCTATTCAGAAACCATTCCCAGGCGAGTTGAAGCGGTGTTGTAGGGGTCTCTTGTACCTTGGGGCTCTTTGGAGGTCCTCTCGGGCCCCCCATTGGAGCCTTCCTGCCCCCCCAGAGGAGAGCCGCATCCAAAACTTGCATCCGATTCCTCTCGTTTCGCGGGGTCCACGTCCGGAGCACGTACAGTCCAGTCGTTGTCGGGCCTTTTGGGAATGTTTTGGGGGCCCCATTGGAGGCCTCTTTGGGGCCTCTTGGGTCCTCGCGAGGGCGTCTGTGGGGCCTCTGGGAGGCCTCTTGGGGGCCTCTCGGAGCCCCGTGTGGGCGTTTTGGGGGCGCTATTGCGCTGTCTGGTCACGTTCGTTTTAAAGATTTCCAACTTTCACAATGAATCTTGGGCCGTCTGGACGCCCTCGTGGAGCCCCAAGAGGGCGACGGGGCCCAAATCACACATGTTCCACAGGTGTTGGTTCGATGTTGTAGGCTTTTGAGGCGCAGGAGGGAGGGGCCATTGTGGGTCGGCGGAAGTGGTGTGGCCCCTGGGAGGGGCTAGGGGGGTACATCATAACTAACACAATACAATACGTAACAATTATGAAATCATTGGATACATTGGATACGTTGCACTATAGCCTCCTCCGTGGATTTTCATACTCCCTCCCCATATCCCCTTCCAGCGCCAGCTCTAATCATGGGCGCCGCCGTGACCCACTTCCACATGGCTGGCGCTGCGCCGCACTTCGCCCAGGGGGGGAAATGACAGTACACTCCAGTCGTTGTGTGGGCTTTGGGGGGCTTCTCTTGCCTTTTTGGAAGCTTTTTGGAGGCCTCTTGAAGGCCTCTTGAAGGCTTCTTGGGGTCCCTTGGGGGCCTTGTCTGGGGTTTTTGGGGGCCTCGCGGGGGCGTCCTGGGCAGTCGTGGGGCGTTTTTCTGTTGTTTCGCCGCTTCGGAGGCCGTTTCGGGGGCCTCTCGCGGCCGCCTTGGGGCCCTCTTGACGTCCTCTTGGGCCGTCTTAGGGGCCCCTTGGGCCGTCTTGGAAGCCTCTTTGGGCCGTTTTGGTGCCCTCTTGGGCTCTCTCGGGGCCCTCTTCGGGACTTGTTGGGTTGATCTGGGGCGAGTTTGGAAGCTGCTTGGGCCGCAAAGGCGAGAACGCTGAAATATCGCCAAAACCATAAAGATCAATGACTTCGGCATCTGGAGGCGCAGTTGTGGGCGCTCTCGGGGCCCTTTTGGGCCGTCATTGAAACTTTTTGGGCCCTCTTGGGCCCATCTTGAGCCGTCATGGCGCCCTCGTGGCTCCCCCCCAAGAGGCACAATAGGTCGAAATCATTGATGGGTTTTGGTGGGTTTTTGAGCCCCGGGAGGGGGTGGCCCTTTTGGGTCGACGGATGTGGCGCAGTCCGGGGGGGGGAGGGTTAGGGAGGGAGACATAATAATGCAACACAATACACGATGTTGCAATTATACAATCTTTGGATACAGCGGATACGTTGCATGAAGGCGTTCGCCGGAAAACGCTGCCGCTCAGCACGTCACCTCCGGACATGGGTTCTATAAACTTACGCCACATCCGCCGACCCCTATATATTACTGCGCCTCCAGGACTGCGTTTCACGAGGCTTCTCCGAATCATGACACGGCGCTCGACATCGTTCTTTTTACTTCGTTGTTGTTATCGTATCTCTCCAGTCTTTGTTCCCTTCCGTCCTCTCCCGTCCTGTCTTCTTTCCGCCCACTCTTTCTGTCTTGTCCCTTATTTGTTCCGTATTTCGTGTTATCGTCTTTCCGTCGTCTGTCTCTTCCTTTTGTCATTTGTTCTTTCCGTCTTCTCGTCTATTATGTCCTCTCCTCTTTCCGTCTTTTGTTCTTGTTCAGCTCACTTTGTTCCTTAGTTTGTTATTTATGTATTGTTTTCCTTGTGTCTCTCCCTGAAACGATCCACTCTTCATGCAATTTCCGATCGGCCAGCTAGTCGACAGCCACTAGGACTTGTATAATTGCAGGGCCTCGAGCACGCGGATCACTTATCTGACGGCCCGTCCGAAAGCCATAGACGGATCATAAGACGCGCGCGGGGACAGATACGCACACGGAAACGCCCGCTTCGCGTTGGCTGCGGCCGCGGCGGCCAGAGCCGAGGTTCTGGCGAACGAACGAACGAAGCAGCCATACGCCAAAAGCGCGTGGGCATTACAAATGCGCGCCAGCAGTGACAGTTGCACACCAAATGCGTGCACAAGGCGGCCAGGACGCGCCAAATGCGCGCCGGGAGGACGGAGGAGAGGAGGAGGAGGATGAGCAAGAAGCCATTGTTTTGCAGCCTGCCAGGGTACAGAGGCAATCAATAGTTATTACAGCCATTCTTCATCGCTGTCGTGAGAGTGGCGGCTAAGAGCAAACTTCGTAACAAATGCGATCCAGACAGATTCGTTTGTGAGGCAATCCAATACGTCTGACTCTGAATGGAAACAATATCGGATTTGTATAAACTTTTTGCCCACTCGTGCCTTGGACGTCCGGGGGCCCGAACGCACGAGTCGGTGGAAGGTCGTATGCTGTTTGGTTGAAAAGTCAATTGTCTCAACAAGTCGTCAGCGCTTGATCTTCCTATCTTCTTCCCAAACCATACCAATTGATGCTTCAACGATTGCGAACTATACTTTGATGTCCCGGCTCTGAGCAAAACTGTTTTATTTGAAATTCTAGACACGTACGAATGAGGAATATTCATGACTTCGCGAAGGCAGCGCGCTTGGAATCCATCCAATATCTTTATTTCTCGTTTGTTCAGCCAGGCTGAGTTCAAAGAATACATAACTTTGCTGGTAATCAGCGCCCCAAACACTTCAAGCTTTCTTTGTATAAGTATTGACGTATGTTTCCATGTTCTCGCGTATCTTTGGAATTCGCCCCATGCGGCCCCGAGTCGTCTGTTGAGTTCGTGCTGGAGCCGCCCATCGTTATATATAGTTGCCCCGAAATATAGAAGATGCTCACCTGATTTGATGATGTTCCCACGTGGATCTCGCAAGCGAAAGTCGCAATTGTTCTGAAATAGTTTGAATGTGTTCCGATGTAGTTCCATGCCGATCTCTTCTCTTCCCATGCCTCCGCGATCGCGTCCAAAACGCGCTGCAAGTGGTATTCGTTTTGGCCCACCAATAGAATATCATCGGCATATAGAAAAATTGATGTCTCCCCTTGAATCAAAGACATTCGCGTTTCTTCGTCTAATTTGTTTTCTGCGCATTTGATTACTACGCTCATCGCCATCACAAACAGAAAAGGTGAGAGCGGACACCCTTGTGCTATCCCAGACAATTGGTTCCGTTCGCTGGACCGTTTCGGGCCTTCAGCCACGCGAAACTTCTTGTTTTCATAGATGTGGCTAATAATGCGAAGCATGTGAGCGGGCACACCAAATTTTCCCAAAGCGTCCAGGAGGGCCAAAACATTGATTGAATCGAATGCTTTTTTCCACTCCAACGCCACTAGGGCGAGTTTGCCATGCCGTCTCGCATGGGATGCTTCAATATGCCGGCGCACTGCGT